TGATGTTATAATTTTTATTCCAAAACACCCTATGGTACATAGCTATCTATCTCGAAACGTTTCTCTTACGGAAAACAGTTTTGTACAGCAAAGAAAGAATTTGCTGGGTCTACTACATTTTTTGTTTACATCAACGAAACGATTTGTTAAAGAAACTAACAAATAGATTCAACAAAACTTTATTTTCCGTGATTATTTAAAAACTATGTACTTTGATATGTTTTCATCACGAAAAAAATATTGAAAGAAAGAATTTTCTGGGCCTGATAAATGTTCAAATCGTTATATTACACCTAACCTTAAATAACTCAAAAAGGATTAATTGAAATTGGCTCTAAATTAAACTCGATTAATAGAATATTAAAACCTATCACATACTATAACAATTTTATTGAATAACATTTAATTTTACTCAAATTATCGTGAAAAAACGGAAACGCAATTTTTTTTACTTAACCTTAAAATTTTCGAAAAAAAACGAATCAATCTAATTCAAAATTTAGTCACTCAATTTCCATTATCTATCTTCCTATGTCAAAGGTTTGTTACTTCACCACACATAAGCTGCAATTTAAAAAAAAAGAGGTTATAATAACCTTAAAAAATTGAAAAGACTGATATGTCAAAATCGTGTTTAGGTTATAAAATGAACATTTTTCGAAAATAACCAAAATTTTTTTCTTGAAAAAAAAACAAAGACATAAATTTCTAAAATGGCTGATTACCCTCCAAATGAAATTGTAGATATGATTTTGATTTTAGGAGAGTATCGAGGAGTTTATGTTGATGCAGCCGCATTTTATGATGAACGTTATCCAAACAGACGGCACCCGAGTAACGTTACTATCCGAGATCTTACTCGTAGGGCTCAGGATAGACAACTCCGTCGAGAACGTCGTCATCACGAATATGGAAAAAATGACAATCGCGTTGTTACGGTCCTTGCATTAATCCACCTTAATCCTCACTATAGTTCTCGGCAAATTGGGTGTGTTTAGCCGAAGCTAGCGCTACGTAGCGCTACGTAGCGGCTTCATGTAGCAGTTGCAATTGCTGCGTTACTTCTGCTGGACAGTATGGCTACGCGTAGCATGTTCTAAGTAGTGGCCGCCATTTACAATAATACCGTCTCAATTATAATACTTTGACACTTTTTTTGCCATTTTTATAAATAATTAAAAAACAGTTTAGCAACCGAAGAATACAACGGCGATTTGTATACAAACATATTTGCGCTTACAAAAAGCGCTGCGCGTAGCAATACTGTCCAGCAGAAGTAACGCAGCAATTGCAACTGCTACATGAAGCCGCTACGTAGCGCTAGCTTCGGCTAAACACACCCATTGTAAGAGAACATGGAATACCAAAATCAACAGTTCTTAGAATTCTCCATGCCCAGAGGTATCATGCTTACCACATTTCACTAACTCAGGAACTAACGCTTCGGCAATTCGCAGAACGTCTTCAATTTTGTCACTGGGCCGTACAGAATCCAGAGTTATTTACTTTTCCAACAAGATATGTATAAGGCCTTACGAGCCATTCTCAAGATGTTTTGAGTAGAAACTTGTACGTATACAGGGTGTCTGATAATGACCGTATAACCGCTCGTAGGCAGGTAGAAGGGATTATTCTGAGTCGAAAAGTCCTGAACCATTTTTTTCTATTACATATGATAAAGGAGTAATTATTGAATAAAGTAAGCCAATCAGCGCCGACCTTTAG